GGGGGGTGGTGTTTTGTTGTTGGGGGGGGGGGGGGGTCTTTGGATATTTGGTCAGAGCCTCTGTTTGCACGAACCCATGTAGCCCTGCTTCAATGCTTCGGTGCCCACCCGTGCGCGTGTGTGCGTGCGTGTGTGTGTATGCTTGTGTGCGAAATTCGTCACACCCGATAACAGTTTCCCTGCAACAGTACATCGCCCCACTCACGGGGTTCTCCGTCATGCTTCGCTCGAGTGACACGTTGGGCTGCAGAGAGCGCGTCAGGTCGCAGCTAAGGCGAGGTAGTCTTTACAGTCCATCTTGTTTGTTTTTGGGTTGGAGCACACGTACGGTGTCGGGGAGTCCACATATTGTTATTTTTGAGGAAGAGTGTGGGGGGGTATTGAACAGAGTTCCAAAAGGAGGTAGTGTTATTTTTGGTCTGTGTTTTTGCTTCTTCTTTTTTTTCGTAAGAAATAAGTTGCCGTTTGAACGCAAAGCTTCTTCAATTAAATAAGAAAATGGCGTCAAGTGCAAAAGTTAGGAATGACAAATGTGAACTTGTTTCATACACGACGTCCCTTGGTTGTTGTCCTCTTACGTTGGTATCGTTTGAGTTATTTTTTTTTTTTGTTCCCTCTTTATGGAAAGATTCCTTGCTACACATTATTTGGAATGACTTTGTCCTGGGATTGTGTTTGGAACACACGTTAGCCTGAGCATGGCAGAGTCACGCTTTCACTTCTAAGTGCTTTTTCTTTTGCCTAAGTAAGAGGAACTGTGCACTTTAATACTTAGTTGTACCAAAGGAGTATTAGGGCCACATTGAAAATAGAGAAAAAGTAAAATGACAAACAATGAAATGAATTGTCACGTGATCATCAGCATGACGTGTACTGTGGATTGATTGTGTCTATTGCTGAAAACTCATCTTTGTTCTATTGTCTAGTCTAGAAGAAATAATTTAAGAACTATTACCTCACGTGACATTCAGTTCTTAATATTACAATTTTATGCACACTCTATGACACGCTTTAACGAAGCCAAAATGGGAACCCCCCCTCATACTTTTACTTTTTCTATTCTTTTTAGTGTCGCTTTAATACTCCTTTGTATATTTGGCCTCATACCTAATAGGAGCAGTTTGTAACCGAAACAAAGCTTTCACTTCAAATTTGTAGTTTGCTTCTCACACTTTGGTTTGCGGGAATGGTCAGCACTCTAAGTCCTGTTTAACTTTCAAACAATACATGAAAAAAATAAAATAAAATAAAAATAAAAGAGCTCAAACTCCTGGTTTGTTGTCTTTTGGCCAGTTCTTTAGGAATAACAAGGAGACTGAAATAATGATTAAAAAAAAACAGGATAGGGGGATGGTGAAACAAACTACGGGGTTTTTGGTTTCCTAAGTATTTCTTTGGTTACCTGTAACAAAAATAAGACGGGAGTAAGAAGCAGGTAATAGATTTGAAAAACAACAAATTTAAATTTGGTATGGCACTGTGAAGAAAGCAATGCTTTGTTGCTCATGGGACAAAATACAATTAAAAAAAAAAATCTCACATGATATTCCTTTAACACATCCTCACACATTGAATCAGTTAGCGTCGACACGGTCAAGAATCACGAGCACAGAGCTTTGAATGGAGCCACGTTTTGGTATCCCACGCAAAGAAGTCCCCCCTTGTTTCTTCATGAAATTGGAACCTTTGTGGGATGAGGTATTCACTGACTGCATTAATATATATTTTTATATATCGTTTTTGTTTTTTTAAAGCATTACTGATATCTCTCAACTAAATAAACGACTGAAATAAATGAATGCGACAAAATGCAAAACAAACAAAAAAAAAGTTTGATTGGATAATGGTAACTTTTAAGTGCTATTTCCAAATTTCTAGCGTGCTACACTTGGGAGTGAAAGGGAGAGGGGGACAATACTGCGCTTCTCTTTTCTTTTTTTTTCATACTCTTTCGGAATGGTGTGGAACACAAATCGAACACAAAATCGATACAAAAATAAACCAGCAACGGCAGAAAAGATACATCGAAACAGAAACACCGCCATGGGAATAATGCTCCTCAAAAATAAAGAATAATAACATCAAATAAAAAAAGGAAAAGATAAAGCTACCACATTTTTTCCATGTCCTTGACAGGTTCCTTTTTTTTTTTTTTTTTTTTTTTTAAAGTCACAATATTTCTATAGACACTTCCCGGCTATTTTCTTCTATGAGTGTTTCAAACACATCTCTCCTTCCCAAACAGAGGAGAAGAGACAGCACTGGATGTTCCTTTTTCTTGCAGTCTTTTTGGGTGGCTTTTGTCTTTTTCTTCTTCTTCTTTTTTTGTCATATCTCACAAGCAAAGATGCGGAGACGGGAGCTCTCCGGATGTGTT